CCGCATCCCGGCTCCCGCCCCGCATCCCGGCTCCCGCCCCGCATCCCAGCTCCCGCCCCGCATCCCGGTTGCTGCCCCGCATCCCGGCTCCTGCTCCGTATCCCGGCCCCTGCCCCGCATCCTCCGGGCCGCTCTGTCCCGCTCGGCCCGGCCCGTCAGACCCAGCACAGAGCAAGGAGCAGGCGCTGTCCCGGCTCGGGTGCTCTCACCCCAGGGATTGGGATCCTCCCCGGGGCTGCGGGGGTGTCTGTGGTGTGGTGTAGGTACTGACTGGGGGCTGGGTTATTTGGGGTGCAAGGATGCTCCTGGTACTTCCAAGCATGAGGCTGCTGGTATGAGCATCCCTGGGTCAAGGGCAGGCAGGAGATCCCCTTGGCTCGGTTTATTTGGCATAGCATGGGGAATGACATTAGCCACTGGGCTCTTGGAGTGAAAGAGCATTCCCTGTTTCTCCCTTGGGCCAGGGGCCTGAGGAGGCAGGCTCGCTGTCAAGCAGGGACTCTGTGGTGCTGGCTGTGCTCATTCCTGAGCAGGATGGTGGGTCAGACACCCATCCATCCATCCATCCACCCACCCATCCATCCATCTGCCCCTAAGCAGGGTGGTGGGTGCAGGGCTTGCTGGTGGCTCCAGCATTGCACACTGTGGCTCGAGTTGGCACTGTTCACCTGAGCTTGGCTCCATCGTGCCCCAAGGCATGGAGCGGGACGTGGTGGGTGATGGTCAGTGCTGGGGTCTGCATCTGGTGCTGTCAGCAGCAAGGGAGAGAAATGATGGGGGACCTGAGGCCTTTGTCCAGCCAGTCAGTTTCTGAACCACACGCTCCCAAGTGGTGACACCTCCTTGTGCCTCTACTGACAGCCCTTCCCAAGGCCACAGACCTCCCTTAGGGAGGTGGCTCTGGCACGAAGTCCCTGGAAAGCTGGGATTTTCCTTCTATCCTTTGAGGATGCCTCATCTGCTGCTGCTGCTGGCTTGGCCCCAGGTGATGGCAGAGGGGCTGGAGATGCCTCCATGGCTGGGCATGTGTGGGTGCAGTGGGAGAGCTAACGAGCCCCTGTGCTGGCCATGCTTTGTGCCAGCCTGGTGAGACCTTCCTTCCTCTGCAACCCAGGGTGCTCTGTAGAATTGGGAGCATCTGCCAGCTGGATAAGGGGTGGATGTGTCCTCAGAGAGGGAGCTGCTGGTTGCCAAGGCAGGAGTCACTCTTAGCTCTGGGAAGTGCCTGTGCCATGGGTTCACCCCAGCACCCATGCCAACACCTGACACAGGGCTGGGCACCCAGAGGTCCCCATTGGAACCAGACCTCTCCCTGCTCCGCAGGCTGCAGGTGGCCGCCACCAGAGCTGGTGTCTGCAAAATGGTTAAAGGCTGACATTTAGAGGTCACACTTTTAGCACTGTGCATGTGTTTGCTTCATTTGCATTTGCAGTTAGCCCAGCTCGAGGCTTTGCCACTCGCATGTGCAGTTGCCATGGTTACATGTGCAGTCGGGATGTGGAGTTTGGTTGGACACCTGCAAACATGCAGCTCTCAACCTCCAGAGCACGAGCAAAAGCCGCCAAGGTGCAGGGCAGCCCTTGGACGTGGGCTGTGCTGAGGAAATGGGAGCTGCAGAGCCCATCTTGGCAGGGTGTGCGTGCTGCTGGCTTGCACAGCCTCCAACTGCCCATATTCAACAGCAATGAGCATCTAGGGCAGCCTTGTCAGAGGGGAGGTTGAGCCCATGCCAAGGGTGTTGCCCGGCGCTTTTCATCTGGGGTTGTCTCCTTCCCAGACCCCATGTGGAGGCTTTTGTCCCAAAGGGCTGGAGTGAAGGTGCTCAGGAGCGGGGTGGTGAGGGCAGCCAGAGCCTGGAGTCACGAGTGGAGCTGCTGTGCAGGCTGCCCAGGGCAGGGGCCTGCCAAAGCTTCAGAAGGCAGCGTGAGAATTGGCAGAGAGCTGTGCTGAGGCTCCAGATGTGGTGGCTCTGTCTGTCCTGGCTCTCTGTGGGATCTGCTCTGGGTGCTCAGGTCCAACACAGACGGGGACTCGTTCCAGGTGTCTTTGGACCAGGATCACATTGAGTCCACGAGCAAGTGCAAGGAAATAGTGGCTGCCAAAATCCTGTGGCAGGTCCGTGTAGGCATTGTCTTTGTGTCAAGGGAGGAGGTGTTTTAGGAGAGCTGGTAAGGAAGGGACCTCGAGGTTATCAAGTCTCTAAGCTCCATCTACACCATTCCCAAGCAGCATCAACTCAGCCAGCTCCTAAACCTCCCCAACCACAGCGAGTCTCCTGCTTCCCGAGCAGTTTGCTGCCATCTTCTTGTATCCTCCTTTCTAGGAGCTATTTATTTGCAGCATTCAGGGGAGAAAGGAAGCTCTCTTGGCTGTCCAGGAGCAGCTGTGGCCTCAGACAGACCAGTGTGGAGTGGCTATGCTGTGCTGGTGGCAGCTGGAGGAATCCAGTAACAGTAGGAGGGTGTAAGGATGGTGGGAAGTGATGGAAATGGGGACATGGAGCATGTGCCTGGGCAACAAGTTGTGGTGGAGCTGCAGAGGAACCTGTGAAATCTCACAGCAGAGCACAGAGGGGATGTGCATCTGCCATCCTGAGTGCAGAGGGACGGGGCAGGGACAGCTTGGCTCTGTGTCCTTAGAACTTCCAGTGCCACAGGGATGCAACAATTATCAGCTCCCCGTGGGATCCCAGACAGGGATTCCTCTGCTGGTGGTCTGTGGTTATTGGCTACCACTGTCAGGGTTTTGAAAGACAGCCAAGGTCCCTGTGTGGCTCTGGGGTCGGCACAGAGGGGAGATGGTCACAGCCAGCTGGCAGGGGCACAACAGCAGAAAGAGACAGGTTGGATCCTGGTACCAGGGCGCTCAGGGAGAGCTGGGTCTGAGGACTGTGGCAGAGCTGAGTGGTGCTGTGTGGTGGACTAAGTGCTCTGGTGGTCTCCTAACGTGATGCTCCCCAGAGCTGGGGGCAGGGAGCAGGCTGTGACCAGCACTGCTGGCCTCAGCAGGATTCCACTGCGGGTGTGAGGGGAATGAATAAATGGTCCTGCAATTGCCAGAGCTGCCAGTTTGAACCCACATCATTCAGACCCTGGAGCAAGTCTGACTGAGAGGAAATGGGTATGAAGAAGGAGCAGTGGAAAGACATGGGTGCTTCTGGCTGCAGCTGCTGGGTCATGTCTGGTTTGTGTAGCTCCTGGAAGTTTTGCCTGGATAGGAGGTTACGTGCTGTTTGTTTGGAGGCTTGTCTGAGTGGTATTACAGTCCATGATGGAACCTATGTTTCTGCTTAGCCTTGCAGTCGTGTGGGGAAAGTCACATCCCTTTTGCCATGTTGTCTGCCTGGCAGGGGCTGTCTGTGAGCAAGACTTTGTGCTGGGGAGCGCTGTTTGAGCTGAGACCGCCTTGGCAAGGAGCTCGGGGGATGGTTGGTAAAGAAGCCTAGTTCCTGACACTGCAAAATGCAGAGCAGTGAAGTAACATCTGTTGTTTTCAAACTGCATCCCAGTGTGAGTGTATCCTGTAAGGTGCCTGGCAAGCAGAGCTGAAGCTTTGCCTGGTGGCCAGATGCTCCAGCCGTGCCAGCAGAGCAGGTGGCAAAGTTTGGGAAAGGTTGCAGAAGAGAGCATGTTACAGGGCTCATACTGTGCACGAGCCTTGTTTGGTTCTGGGCCTGGGCTGCTGGGGCTCTCTGAGAGCAAGGATGGTTGGCAAGAGTTTGGTCAGGAAGCTTTTGAGATGGGCTTGGGGAGGGGACTACTGAAAATGCTGTTTGATGGTGATCAGGGGCTGCAGGGAATTTGCCTTCATCAAGCAGTCATTAGGTGCTGCTCTAAAGGAGTGGGAGAAGAAGCCCAAGTCTGAAGTGTGGCCAAAGTGTCTGCATGCCACTCACCATGGGAGTGGCCCTGTCCATGTCCTGGTTCTGGCACCCAGTGCTGAAGGAGCTGTGAAGGTGAGACTGTCTTCACGTGTTCCCTACATGACTCCAGGCACCGCTGAGCAACTTGAGGACTCATGGAACAGTGATGGAGGAGAAGGGGACAGGGGTTGCTCTGTGTCTCTGTCTCTAGAACTGCCCACGGGGGAGCTCAGGAGAGATGTGTGAGCGTTGAGATCATTGTGGAGTCAAATGCCTGGAAGTTGCAGCAGGAATGGTCAGAGGTCTGAAGACCTCTCTGCAAAAAAATGGCTAAATAAGGCAGGGCTCTTCAGACTGGAAAAGAAACAACAGAAGATGGATAAGACATGTCTACAGGAGGCCAGGAGAGAAGTGATAGAGGTTAACTGTTCACTGTTTATTTCCGTACAAGTACAAGGTCACATCAAATTAAGCTAGCAGGAGGTGCCAAACAGGAGGAGGGGCATTGCCTCTTGCAGATGTGCTATCAAATCACAGAAGTCCTCAGGACAAGGTGTCATGAACAGCAAAATCTTACATTGGTTTCAGGAGAAATGGAATGAATTCAAGAAAGACAAGATGCTCCCCCAGAACCAATAAATACACTGAAATCCACCTCTGACATGGGCAGCTGCTGAGCTGCAAACTGCTTGTGCTTCTGACTTCTTGCAAGAAAGTACACAGAGCAAAGGTGGACCTTTGGTCTGGTCCGTTATTTTCATGATGTTGTGCCCACCAGAGAGGGTAGAGCCAGGAGGGAGCTCCAGGGGGAGGCTTTGATAAAGAAGGGTGTGTTTATCCCCATCCAGTCCGTGTTACTTCACTTGGCACAGGGTGAGAGCGTGGGATGCTTTCCCCACGTGATGGAGGTGCAGCTGGTGGGAGAGATGGGACCTGTGCTAAGCACCAATCCTCTGCCTTGGCATCACAGGACCTTTTGCTGGAGACCTCTGACGGGCTTTTGTCTACTCATTCAGTTGGCTTGAAAATGGGAGGCAATACCCCCTCCTCCTGTGCTACCTCGCCATTCTGCTTCCTCTGGTTCCCTGGGCACAGGGCACCTGCCTGACACACTGACAGCAGAGCTGGAGTCTCATCTTGGAGTTGTCCCAGTTCCCTGGTACTCGCTGCACGTGGGATCTCCAGGGATCTGATCTTCATCTCCCCCTCCTCCAGTCCCCTGGCTCTGCCTGTTCTCACACACATCAGGAAGCATCAGTGTCAGTTTTGTTTCTGGTTTTATGCCCAAACGAGAAAAGACTCATGTCCTGCTATCACTGAGAGTCCAGTTCAGTCTTACCTTGGTGTATGTGGGATGCTGAGAGGCCTGTTCCCCAGCTCCTGAGCAGTCCAGAGACATGC